TAGATGATATTAAGTTCTCTGAAAAGTGAAAGTTAAGCATGAATACATAAAAACCTGACTCCCAGGGTACATCCAATCACAGAGTTTAAAATGATTTAGTGCGATTTGTAAATGTCAGGTGGAAGCTAAAGAATACGTTGTTCAGATAATGAAAAATACAATCTGGGTTAATTTATCTGGGTTAATTTATAAATCTGGGTTAATCTTGGATGAATTCAGTGTTTTGTTCACAAGCACAATGACGAAGAGTTTTGATTTCCTTGAATCATCACAAATGAAAAGCCTTTTTAACACAAGGAAATAACTTGGGTCCCCATGTAGCAGGCGATTGGAAACATACTTACATGTTCAGTACATGTACACATGCAGGCGTGTGTGTTTGACCAAATCCAAAGAACAAAAGAAGGAAACTACCAGCTACAATGAATCCTATGAGGACTTGAAGTGTAAGATGGGAAGTGGAATACCATTTTCCACTCAGTAAATATTACCTTTCATCTTTACTGCTAATTAACTGCTAATGAAAAGTTACCACCACCCTTTAAGATCTGATGGAGGGATTAGGCAACCCAAGTTCTTTTCCCTAAGACTTGTCTTGACTGCCTCATCTTGCTCTTCAGCTAACTTTATTTGTTCCACATTGTTCCTCCCTCTCTGGCCCCGTTTGATTTCCCCTTCTACTCCCTTTCTCTCTCTTAGCTTCACAACTCTGCTTCCCAAACGCTGCCCTTGCCTCACCGGGCTGTTACGGGTTTCAGCTTCGTAGGCTGAGCTCTCAGAGAGCGGAGGCATCAGCAGGGGGATTATGCTGAAGTGTCAGCCATCTTGAAGAAACTCACAGCCCTTGAAAAAGATGCCTTATGGTCAGAGGCTGTTAAATTATCCATCGACCAGGGCATAAGAGGAGGAGGTGCTGTAATGCAAAAGGCTTCGGTGGGTTTATCTGCAGATGGCGCATTGCATGTACAGTCTGGTTCCATGTTTGATTGGATCCAATAAAAATCCCATTCAGCAGTTTCCTTTACCAGCGGACAGGTTTGTCTCTGCTGAGCTCTGTGGGGGGGACGAGGGGACGTCTGAAGGTGATTTACAGCTGGAGGTCTTGACTTGATTTCATTCTTTGTCACAGTTTTTCTTCTGGCCTAAAGTTGAGGGGCATTGACTCACACGAGTCAAACATCTCCAGATTCATTTCAGCATAGTATCATGCACTTATCTCTTGGGTGTTGATTCCATCGGCAAACCAGAACTAATAACTACTTCTCATCGTCAATGCATCGTCTCTCCTGTCATTTGACTCCCGTATAGATCCGTCGGTCCTCTCTCGGCCAATCTGTGACCTCTTCGATGGACGCTTCACAGATGGTCATTTTTCATAAACGGCAAGTGAATCTGGTGTGCAGATCATTGTGCAACACCTAGTGGATCGGTGTTTTTAACACGTTCCTGCTGCGCCTCAGGCTCGAGTTGCCTGCAGATCTGACAGTTCGGCCCAACTGTCACTCAGATGGACAGTAATGACTTTGCGAGGCCAGACAGTGCACAGCCACTCATCTCAAGCAAGGCAGCGGTTATAATTGGACAGTCAACCTTTCTTGGGACAGTTGTGTAATCTGAAGACCTGTGTCTCTGCACTGCAACAGTATGTTGTGCTGCAGCAGATACACAAGCATTCCATGAGGCTGATAGGATCATAGAGGCCGTTCTAGTTATTATTAAGCATATTTGTTCATTAAAGATGGAGTTACTGACACGTCTTTGTTGTATTATTGTTGCACTAAAAAGCAAACCAAACTATTCATAAAGAGATTCTCAAAATGAGTTTCACTTTTAGCAGCTGTGTGCAGATTCATATGAAAGAGCAAAGAGTTCTGTATTGACTCCTATTGATAGAACAACACGTGTGGAATAAATGTGAAGAAAAACATCTTTTGAAAGACTGAAATAAAAACATATCTTTGTAAAGAAAATAACTATTTTGTGTAAAAGAGAAATCTCAGCAAAAGATCAAATTATGATTGGTAAAGTTCGGGTGAACATGTTCTCTTGTAAACAGATTTCCACGACCAGAGGTTGATCAATTATTGAGAGACCTTCAACATTCACACGGTTGGTACCCTAAATAATTAAACTGTCATCCCAGAATGTGCATGTCATTGTGCAGATCAATTAATGATAATTTGAATGTTATATTGAGGGCATAGGCCACAATTGAAATGCAACCCACATGTCTTTCTTTCCAAAACTAAACCAGAAAAGCTGACAAATCTCTTATCTCTTTTTATTAGAATGCATCCTGCTGCCTGCTACACGGGGACGACGATGCCAAGGTCACTGTGGACGTCTCTGGAGGCAGCATGCAGTTGAAAAAGGCGATGCTGTAAGATATAGCTCTGACTTAAGATGTAGCTCCCACTGGCTTCTTGTAGCTCTGACGAGCCCACACTCACACACATAAGTAGAATGGTTCGGATCAGTTGGAGATATGCAAGATTATTTTAGAAGAATAGAATTATTGACAGCAACAACTTTATTTTTCATTGTGATGATTTTGGATTAAGATTACAAAAATTGAAAAACTGCATTTCAAAGCAGTCCCCAAAAAAAGTCCTCCATCTTATTTGACTGTTTTGCCGACACGGTGATTTGTCAGTGAGAGACGCTGGATAAGAAGGCCCTGCTGTGTGAGGTGATGCCAGCAGAGAGAACTCCCCTGAGCTAGATATTGCTCCCCTGAACTATTTGTTTCTGGCTCTGTAGTCGTCTGCCGAGGTAACAATGCCATTTGTCACTGTCAACAGCTGGTACCCCCCTTCATATGGAAAGCACTGCACATCACTGAGGGGGTCGTTACTGGGAGCAGCTTTCATTTCTTTGGGGAATAGGATTTGTTAGTATGTGCTTGACTTTGTATTCTGTGCTCATGATGTACATTCATGCACATTATGAACATTATGAACATGTAAAGTTCGTAAGAAGGAGATGGACACCTGTGGCTTTATGCCTTGAAGCTATTGTGAGGAGCTGATGGATGAAGCGTAATAACCAGAGTGCTCGCTGTATTGGATTTCATCAGCCCACAAAATGCTTATCATGTTAAATCACATCAGTTATTATGTTTTGGAAGCTCTATTAGCTGAATCTCATTTGGCTCAGGTTGCTTCTTTTCTTCCCCGATTTAATAGAAATCTCTGGTACTCCATTTTAAGAATTCATCAAAAATGCTGCAGTGTAGCAAACCAACAAGCACTCTATTATATGGAGCAAACAAGGGGCCCAAGTTGTGCAACTGAAGTAACTGAACAAGAGTAACAACCAATGAAACGACACAGAAAGGAGGACCATATGTAACGAGTTTAAAGGAGCAAAAAAACAACCGCACAAAGCCTCGATTTAAAAAGATAAAAGTAATGAAAACAGTCTTCTTGACGCTTCTGGCTTGTTCTTTAGCAGAAAGAGCCAACGTATTCCCTCTGAGCACGCAGAGCACAATGCTGGGAACAAGGAAAGGGCTCAGTAATAGCTGAGATCGCTCACTGGTGCCCCAATTATATAGACAGAGCTGTTGCCCTGGGACATGACTTAATGACCATAATAAGGCTTGTCTGTCTGTTCAAAATCAGCTTAGAGTGCATCCATACTAACCTACAGCATCACTCTACCCTTAGTTCAATTGAAACAGGCAGCATGAGAAGGAGCAGGGTGTTTTGGGGATGGGTGGGGGGACAAGTTAGAGACTCTCCGCCATCCTGACAGTGTCTCCCATGGACCACGAACCCTTGAGCCCTCCTTCTCCCACCTCATAGCCTTGATGAGGATCAATTGGGACTTGAGCATTTCTTGCGGGTGTGGCTGCTCTTTAATTCAGTATGGCTGAGCCGCTCTGTGATTAATGACAGGTACTTAGCTGGGAGACTGGTCAATAAACGCACTGGTCGGAACTAAATACCAGGCTGGTCGCCAAAGGAGACACAGCCGTTCTCCATGTGGCAGCACGACCATGATGAGAGGGGGCTGCAGGGAGCAGAGAGGAAGAACATGTGAGCCCAACAACTTTGTGTGACAAGCATCCACTTCTGTCCTCATGGGAAATGAAAACACATGAATCCAGACACGATAACCTGGATGTCATAGTGATGGACGATTCAGCCCTTTATTGCCTGTTAAAGCCATGTGACTAACATTAACGTATTAATCATACATCATGTATGCATTCACACTGCTTTCAATCCAGATGATTTATAATGCCTTTAACATCCCGAAAAACGGAGTGCTTCTGAGCTCCGGCAGAACCTGACAACTGCACCATGTAATCTTCTTATCAGCATAATTACCGGAACACAAACACACATGGGCCAGGGACATGATCAAAGTTCCCACTGCAAGGTCACACGGATTGTTTCTATGCTCATACGGGCCCATGTTACAATACATATTCACCTGGTGGCTGCAGATTGCACATCTTACGGTGTTCATACATTTACGGTGTGAGGGTTGTCTCACCGGGGCTGGCTGTCACAATACTGACCTCCAGTGTGCGCACAGCAGGAGAGACGAGCGCGTTCTGCTCGGTGAAGGACCCCGCGGCTGTCAGCCTGTGCGTTCGGACACGTGACCTCCCCTTATTAAGAGCTCCTGACTCCGTCCATTAAAATGGACGCAAGCACGCTTTCCGTAGGAAACAGCCCTTCAAAAGTCAGATCAGCAAGAAGGGAGAGTCACTGATCAGCTGTCTGTCAATGCAGATAAACTGGACCCACATGAAACACGCGCTCCTGCAGCAGCAGCCCACTGGTCGTATTAAATATTCCTGAATCACTGATCAACTGTAAAAACTCTTAAATAATAGAATATCTCGCTATCATCTCATCGCCTCCTTCTCTCCTCCGCGGCGGAGCAAGTCCCTGCTAGTTTTTTTCTAATGTAAAAAAAAAAAAAAGAAAGACACGTGGTTGTTACAAACCTCTCTCAGGACGCAGCGGGGACGCGGAGGTGGGGAGATGCGGGCGCAGTCGGGATGGGAGAGGACGCGTTGAGGAGGGAGTCCGCGCTCCAACTACGGAAATTGTGCTGCGGAGCATCCTGCACGCTTTTTGAATAAGGTCTTAAAGACTCTGCATATTCCGTCTCTGTCTCTCTGTCTCTTTTTGTTTTTTGTCCAGAGGAGAGACTTGCATTCAGGAGGTGGAGGATCGCAGGTGAGGAGAACAAAACATGCCGTCAGCAGTAGTGAAATATGCGCTGAGGTCTTAATGGGATGTTTCTATAGATTATTTCCACACATTTTATTTAAAAAATAAAAACCATATATTGACTTAAAGAAATACTCAAAATGGATTTTTTGAATAGCTCCAGCCTGGAGGACGGGATGGCTGCAGGAAATATCTCCTCTAATTTCACCTCGCAGAGCAAGTACAGCCAGCTGTCCATCTGGGGTCTGGCAGGACTTGTCAGCTTTCTCATTCTGTTTACAATCGTCGGGAACGTGTTGGTTGTTATCGCAGTTTTAACCAGCAGAGCTCTGAAGCCACCCCAGAATCTCTTCCTCGTCTCCCTGGCCAGTGCAGACATACTGGTGGCCACCCTGGTCATGCCCTTTTCTCTGGCTAATGAACTCATGGGCTACTGGTTCTTTGGAAAGATCTGGTGTGACATCTACCTGGCTCTGGACGTTTTATTCTGCACCTCATCTATTGTTCACCTGTGTGCTATTAGTTTGGACAGGTACTGGTCAGTGACACAGGCGGTCGAGTATAACTTGAAGAGAACGCCTAAAAGAGTTAAAGGGATGATTGTGGTGGTGTGGTTGATCTCAGCCGTCATCTCGTTCCCACCGCTGATATCAATGGACAGGAGCAGCAACGAGGACAGTCCTCAGTGTATCCTGAATGATGAGACCTGGTACATCCTCTACTCCAGTCTCGGCTCATTCTTTGTCCCCTGTGTCATCATGATCCTGGTCTATATTCGCATCTACCAAGTGGCAAAGACCAGGACCAGAACAATGTCAGAGAAGAAGAGGGAGGTGGACTTGCCGCTGGAGAATGGGATGGACCAAGCCAAACCTGGCCGAGGAGGGTCACTGAAGTCCAGCAGGGACGGGAGTATGAAAGACCAGGAACGTGGGAATGGACACTGCCAGGAGCAGGCAGTTCGGTCCCCTCTACCGAACGAGCCCAAACATCCACCGACAGACCACGAGGACGACTTCGAGGACAGCAGCTCGTCAGACGAGAAACCTAAGAAAAGTTCCATTTCCTCCAAACATCAACGTGACGACAGAAAAGGCCGGAAGTGCAGCCGGAAGAGCAGCTCCGCCTCTAAATACTCCAGCAGGAAGTCGCGTGCCAGCTCCAAGTCCATGGAGCTGTTCTCATCCCGCCGCAAACGGCGGAGCACCGTCAACAGGAACAAGGTCTCCGCCGCTCGAGAGAAGCGCTTCACCTTCGTCCTCGCCGTCGTCATGGGGGTCTTCGTCGTGTGCTGGTTCCCGTTCTTCTTCTCCTACAGCCTGTATGGGATCTGCCGGGAGCCGTGCCAGATCCCAGAGACGCTGTTCAAATTCTTTTTCTGGATTGGTTACTGTAACAGTTCTCTGAACCCCGTCATCTACACCATCTTTAACCAAGACTTCCGCAGAGCCTTCCAGAAGATCCTCTGTAAGTCATGGAAGCGCTCTTTCTGAATGCTTCCCGCATGGATGGAGCTGTAAAAGACATTTTACCCAGCAGACTGTTCTGATGAAGATGAAGTGCTGGCCTGGGGGCCTTCACACCTATGTTCAGGGATTGTACTATGAAGGGATGATTTAACTACAGCACAGAAAAGGGTTTGAAGAGTAGGCTCGTATTCAAAGAGGAGGCTTTTATTCAATGCCATTCAGGCAGCTGTTGGACTCTGATGTGGGTTACGGCTCGTTTCCCCATCCTCATTGACTTCCCTTCCCTGAAATACAATAAACGGACTCATAACAGTAACTGTGAGGTGTGCACGCCACAGTGGCTGCACATGGATGAACTGCAGAGACACTTGATTTAAAATGTGACCTCATTCACTGGACATAAAACGAAGGCCTCGACAATCTGCACACAACCTTTGCTTGTGACATCAGATAGTGATATCTATCCTCTCTCTCTCTCTTTCTCTCTCTCTCTCTCTCTCTCTCTCTCTACCTTTCTATCATGTCACAGTCTCAACATGAGGACCAATGGGACAAAGGGGCTCCTTGCTTACTGTTTCAGTAGCAAAAAAAAGACTCATCCTCAAAAACTATGAAGTCATATTTCAGCATCAGTGTTCTGTGTGTATGAGCTGGGTACTGCAGCGCAACATCTTTATCAGGACGTGTGTTTTGTGTGAACTTGTAGATGTGGCTTGGACTCTGGATACAGTAGCATGTACAGTACCCCATGTACCCTCCTGAGGAAATGAATAGAATACAGAGGTACTGCTGAGGCCAATGGCCACCCACTGAAGCTTTCACTGTGTGTGTGTGTGTGTGTGTGTGTGTGTGTGTGTGTGCATGGAGGAGAACGAGTGTACAACAGTGAAACTCTGTGCCTATGAAGTGAGCTGGAGAGTTTATCGCATCTCATCCCGACTGCCAGTAAGTGATCGTCTGTCTGTCCGTCTGTCTGGGTGTGTGTGTCTGTGTGTGTGTGTGTGTGTGTGTGTGTGTCTGTGTGTGTGTGTGTACGCCTGCATTCTCAAAGGTTTTATTCTTCCTGGTCAAGTGTCTTTCTATTCTCCACTATTCTATTTTCTGTCACACGTCTTTTCTCTCCCTTACAGCCACAAAAAGCACTTAGCCACATTAAAAACCAAACACCACCCTGTTCTAATGTCTGCTGCTCACACACACACACACACACACACACACACACACACACACACACACACATTATTAAACACACAAAGATATAAAATGACTTATCCAGTAAGTATTTCATCTTTACATTTCAATGTAATGCTTTCTTTTCATGTGTAAATAGTTGAAGGCAGTGCAGTAGTATTGTGTGGTGTCTCATAATCACACATTTATCAATATGCTAAAGATGTATCGTTTGTATAATGAACAACGCTTTGAAAGATTTTCATGTTACACCAACCTGTCATTTTCTAAAAGAGCCAGTGTTTACTTCACATCCAAGAGATCAAATAAAAAGATTACTTCAACTGTCATTTGAAAATTGAAAGATTGCATGAGTGCATTCTTCATTGCTATACACACACACACACACACACACACACACACACACACACACACACACACTGGTTGTTGTCCCCACAATCCTCCACTTTTTGAACTTACTGTCTAAATAAAAAGCACTCACTTGTGTTGTATTCTATGGATCTTAAAATATGCAGTATACTTTATATTATTTAAGGACTTTTAAATAAAATTCTGTGATAGTTGCTGGAGTTTGAAATGCGTCCTTGTTGATTGGTTGATGCAGCCTGTGCTTCTAGAATAACCCGATGTGGTTGAACACACTCTGTGCTGACAGTGTGCAGAGCACTTTGGTAATACATTTGATTTCCCAAGAGTTTGGATTTGACTCTCTGCACAAAGTTTCAAACTTGTGAGAATCTTTTGTAGATGAGACTCAAAACAGAATAAAATAAACTAACATTGCTGAGCTGCTTATTAGACCGAATGACAAAGTGAGACTTTACAGTTTACACACTAATGTGATCAAAGTCAAAACAGATACACGAGGCTTCAGTATGGTGCTTGCTCTCCTAAATAACTGAAGTCTAACGGGTTAGGAACAAACTGCGTGGTTACATCAAATTAAATACCCAGCCAGTTTCATTTATCCATTCATCATGCAACTTCTGCACATTACATTACAGTCATTTAGCAGACGCTTTTATCCAAAGCGACTTACAATAAGTGTATTCAACATCGGTTTTCGAGAGAACAACTAGTAACCAGAAGTCATGAGTGCATCTCCTTTCCTCAAACAAGCATCTAAGAGCATAAACCAGAGCCAACGTACAGTGCAGAAACAAACGAATGCAATAAGTGCCACAAACTAATATAAAAACAATAAGTGCAATAAGCTAGTATGAATACAATAGATGCTAAGTAAGTGCTAAGCGGAAGGGTAGGCCTTCTTGAAGAGGTGAGTTTTCAGCCTGCGCCGAAAGATGGGCAGCGACTCTGCCGTCCTGACGTCAGTGGGGAGTTCATTCCACCACTGTGGGGCCAGGACAGAGAACAGCCGCGACCGGGTCGATCGGCCGCAGGGACCTCTGAGCGACGAGGCAACCAGTCGCCCCGAGGCAGCAGAGCGAAGTGGTCGGGCCGGGGTGTAGGGCTTGACCGTGGCCTGGAGATAGGAAGGAGCTGTTCCTTTCACTGCCCTGTAGGCTAGCACCAGAGTCTTAAACTGGATGCGGGCTCCTACAGGGAGCCAGGGTAGGTGCACCTTCTAACAAGCGTCCACAAGAATCACTGGAGAACCAGCAGTGAATGCACCAGGTATGAGCAAGAACCCATAAAGACGGGTGAGCTGCCTCAGCTTTTACCGACATGTTCTATCTGTAAAAGTATTTATTCATGTGTGTGCAGGAAAACACAGCTCACCAGAGACCCCCCCAATCCAATCAGAGGTCAGATTTGGGTGAGAGTTCACCAGAAACCTACATCATTCCTCTCTCTGCCTGCCTAACACTTATTTACCCGCTGAAAGCTGAATGATGAAGCAGAATGGATTCTGTCAGGGTGTGAACAGTGAGTGTTCATGGCTTGCTGTGTCAGCGGGTCACATCCTCACGCAGTGGTTGTTTGCTCCTGTGCTACAGATCTGAAGCAGAACCCATCGGACAACCTTGAAAATGGAAATGCACCTCGTGTAGTTTTACCTCAGGTCTGTGAAGATGCTCCGAGGCCTCAGGGGCAGGAAAGGAGACCTATACATGTTTTCTTCATCATCAGCACTGTATTAATCTAGTTTAACTTATTTATCTGAGATCAAAAGAGCATTACTATACCTGAGTTTGAAGATCTTGCTGCTCAGATCAGACATTACCACTCGTTAAAACTAAAAATACATAAAATGTCAAATATATTCATGAACTGAGCTTAAACAGCATCGTTCCATAAATCTTTAAGTCCTTAACCGTGTAGCCTTCTGCTGTTGTCTGCGAGGATGATGTCTTCAACTCAGCCTGACCTTCCAAATCCCCCGTCTTCTCTGCCTCCCTCACACATGTCAGAACTCATTCTAGCAGGTCTCCATGAGTGCTCAGTAGGCGGAAGTGATAAATGAAGACGGGCCAGATTGGAAAGTATTTCATGTTGGCGCAGTATGTTGCGGTGAATACCCATGAGAGGTTTTAAAGCGGAAAGGGATTAGCTTTCACTTGGACAGACAGTATATCGTCTTCTGGGGGACTTGAGGTCATTTTCATTTTTGGGAGTATTTGAGGTATAGATTTGCTGATCTGTCTGATGAATCCATGGACATTTGATTGACAACGTCACTCGGCCCACATCTATCCTCTTTTTCCCACTTTTTATTCTCCACCACCTTTCCCTCTGGTGTTCTCACACATCCTGTAGTTTGAACCTCGGCCCACTTAAACCTTATCTTCATCTCTACCTGCGTCTATCATCTTCCTCCTCATTTCCTTTTTGCAGAAACTTTCCACTTGCTCAGTGTTATGTATCAAAATCTTGAGACGCAACATCCTGAGGAATACTGTTTTGCACAGAAGGCACACAAATATATGTGACTAATGTGTGCAATAAAGTACCAGCATTATAGGAATAGTTCCACTTTTGGAATATATCTTAATCTTCAATCTCATGTGAGATTTCATGTCTGTGCATTACATGGAGTCACTCCACCTTACATTCATGTTTTCACATCTCTATACTTTACATTAATAGACATCTTCCTGGTCTATAATCTCTGGACATTAAACATTCTTTTTATTCTTGATATTGTTTTTATTGTTTATTCTTATTACACTACCAAAACCTCCAGCTGCTTTTCTTACAGACAACCACAACACACACACAGCCGTCCAGACAAACACCGTTAAAAGGGCTTCAGGCTATCAGCATGACAGATGTACACAACAAGTGAATAAAAACACACAAAACCACCTCTCTCTTGGTATTGACTAGCAGAGTCCTGCCAGGGACAGATAAAGGGATCCGTAATAGATTTCACTGTCAATGTCCATACCTTTAAGCAAAGAGTGTGTGACATACATCATGCAATTTACATGCTCTCTATCTAGACATGCAAGTATTTGATTAAATGATACAAGTCCAAAAAGGATTCTGTTTCAGCACTGAGAAGGCAAGTCAAAAGGTAGACGTGGATAATCCATTCCCGAATCAATGACCGCATCCTTTTATTTCTTCAGGGTTCTCCATACCTCTCCTCTCTTCCCAACAGAGATGGAAGAGACTCCATCGTTCACACACCATCTGCAATCAATCTCATACTCCTCATGCTAACCTATCTCCACCTCTGTCCTTCACCCTCTTCTTCTCTCTTCCTAAATCAATCTCTCTTCTGGTGCATTTGCATGACAGAGCAGGAGTAGAGTACGTACACACGCATTTTAACATCGGAGTTGTCATTAGGTTTTTCACAGAGGAATAGCACCTTTTCCTTTCTAACAGCACAGCCAGATGCTCAACTCTGATTGTTTTGCTTTAGCATTTACAAGCTGCTCATCATAAAGCCAACACGTTGTATGTACAACCCTTAACTAAAGGGAAACATAAATAGACATTCTGTTTTATTGAAAGGTTATGTAAAACCTCTCAACTTGTCTTTTCCATCTTTGAAATATAGTGCAGAGAAAAGGTATACATACTCAAATAACCAGCAGTACATTATGAAAGAGTGGAAAGGCTGAAGGAGGAAGTGAATGAGGGGCAATCGGTTAACAGCTCCAAATGCTCCACTGTTCTTTCCCCTTCATTTTTGTCTAAAAGTCTAAAACGTTTTGGTCTACAGCCATGCTAATGACTTTGCAATGCTGTACTTAGCTTTCAGCTAATTGCAAAAGTTTGCACGCCAACATTAACCATTTTAATGGGCAGTTGGAGTTGGCCGTGCAGGCCTGGAGGGGAAGGGACAGAGGTTGTCCAAAGAAGAGGAAAGGGTGGAGAGGAGAAGATCAGCAGCAGTATCAGGGGATAGGAGAGAGAAGGGTTCAGGGTCAGGGTGGGCCGAGGTAACAGAAGAGGAAAGATCAGCGGGGGAGAGGGAGCGGAGATGACTACGGGTAACCATGTAGGTAGGTGGAGGAAGTAAGGGGGAGAGGAGAGGAAGAGGGAGTAGGACATGAAATAGTGGTCAGAGAGCTGGAGGGGAGTGACAGAGAGGTTAGCAGTAGAACAGTGTCTAGTGAAGATAAGATCCAGCTGGTTGTCGGCCTTGTGGGTAGGAGGAGAAGAGGAGTGGTGAGTGGTAAAGGTCAAAGGAGGAGAGGAAGGAAAGAAGAGGTTCTAACTTATCAGTCTGGATGTTGAAGTCGCCGAGCAGAATGAGTGCTGAGCCATCGTCATGGAAGTGCGAGACTAATGTGTCGAGCTCCTCCAGGAATTCACCAAGAGGCCCTGGTGGGCGACACACAACAGCAAAGGTGAGCTTGACTGGATAAGTGACAGTCACAGCATGGAATTCGAAAGAGGACGGGGAGAACTGAGGAACAGAGACCAGAGAGTATTTCCATTTTGCGGAAATTAGCTCTGGGAGAGAAAGAGTGAGAAAAAGAGTGCACATCTGACAGAGCTGCGGGTGTGGAAGTGATTGACACACTTGACGCACAGAATGGGCTTTTGTACCATAATCTTTTCTGTTGGCTCAGCTCGTGAATTTAACACTCTCTCAGAGGGCTTTTACTTGAAAAATACTACAACATTATAAAAGAGAAAAATATATTTATGTTACTAGTGGAGTTATATTGAGGTTGCAAATTGCATCAATGCAGTGTTGTTTAGGGTGGTGATAAGCTGGAGCCTCCAGCATGCATTGGGAAAGAGGTGGGGACACCCTGCAACATAAACGCATACGGACAAACACATTCACACATTTGGCAGTTTCCAACTCACCTCACATGCAAGACTGCAAAAAGGAGCCGCGGACTTTTGAACTGTGTTTTACGCAATAAAAAAATGTAAACGTAGACCTCGTATTATATCATTTAGTTTTCATGTATTTACCTATCGTCATTTACATTGTAAGATATATTTTGGAGACATGTGCTTCTACCTGAGTTTACTATGAGAAAACCAAAAATAGGAGGTTTATACACAGATAAACATTTGTTTTAAAACCTGATTGTATGAATTGCATATGAACTACTCTTTTCCAGTGAATGGTGGGATGGGCTCCTGGCCCCTGTG